ATAGATAGATAGATAGATAGATAGATAGATAGATAGATAGATAGATAGATAGATAGATAGATAGATAGATAGATAGATAGATAGATAGATACTATGCTCCAAGGCCTCTGGAGGAAAAAAGCTTGGAGGAAAACAGGGAGAAAAGTGGGGAAAAGTTTTTTTTATTGATTGATTTATTTTTTTATGTATATATATATATATTTTTTTGTTGTTGTTGTTGTTGCTATAATACCTGTTGCTCTGTCGACTAAAGACATATTTTATAGTCTCTATACTCTAGTTAACGATCAATCTATTACTAAGTACTAAGTTAGTTGATGATTATTTCAATAATTGATTAATCTGATTTATTGTTTCAGCCATAAAATTATTGGTTTTATTCAAACAATTTCTTGGTCTGGAATTTGTTGCTCACCACAAACCAAAATAAGTCGTTTTTCAAGATGATGCAAAGTTAAATGTGACGCTGTTACCATTAGTTATAAAACTAAGAAAATAAAGTCTAAGGAAGTTATCATCCAGAATTGTAGAAAATGTTCCTTTAATAGAGTAAAGCAGCAAAGCTTCTGGCCTTAAAATAGTTAAAACATTACACCCCTCATTCGCTGTGTTTTCTTTCTTATATTATGTGTAAATGGTGGTGACAGTGATTTTTGTTTTTGTTTTTTTAAGCATATGCACTGATCGATCGATGGCACTTTTTTAAAATTTCGTTGTTCTTGTGACAATGACAATAAAGATATAATTGAAAAGCTTTAAATTTAAATTGAATTCCTGAAATGATCAGACTTTTTGATGCTACTCTAATCAGGTGGGAAGCACTTGTACCGGGGAGGAACACACGCCCACACGCATGCACAACCACATGTCCACAGCACAGCCCCTCCACACTTTTAAGGACCATCACACTAGGCTCTACGGTTACCCCACAACACATGAAGGCTCAATGACAGCTTGGCCCTGCTGCAGTGCACTGCAAGGATGGAGGGGGAGTGCACCGCACGGAGGAAGTCGTCATTGAGGCAGGCACCTCTGGTCTACTACGGACAGAAAAGCACCACAGAGTCTACGGAGGCAAGCCAGGCCAAGCCCCACAGAATGCAGCAGCTAGCTTCTACCACCACAGGCTAAGAAACAAAAACACCAGAGTCAGATACGGTACCTGCTTTGTCAACCATGCTCCCATGGTCTGCAGTGGGAGAAAACGTGCAGAAGGTAAATGTTGGGGAGAGTATGTTTTCTTTTTTGACTTAAAATAAATGCAAGCAACATCATGCAGAGCTGAAATACATAACAGGCAGGCTGCGATAAGGATGTCTGGGGCTGCTGAAGTGTGCTTTGCGCTCAAGCTGAGGCCTGACAACTCTTTCATCTCAGACTGATGCTGCAGTCAAAGCTGCCCTACTTTCTGATGGGGGAAATGGGGAGATCATAAACCGCTATTCCCCAGTGCATATGTATGTGTTGGGGTGCGTGTGTGTAGGTGTGTGTTTGTTTGGGCTGCAATCACAGTGCCTCTGGTGACAGGAAAAGGAGACTTTGTGTCTCACAGCACTATGAAGGAATCAAAGGGATCTGGCAGTCATCCATCCAAAGTGACATTGATGTCAATATGAGACAGTGATTGACTGACAAAAAACACACACTCGCTCATTCACACACACTCTGCGATGACTGTGCACACACACACACCCGCAATCTTGGAGAGTTATTTTTTGATCACAGTATGTTGCAGAGTTTTGCCTTTCATAGCACAACTTTGGTGTTTCAAAGGCCATAGAAGAAGTAAAACTCCTGGGTGTGCAGTTGAGAGGCAGACTATAAACAACTAAACCCTGCTCTTTTTCTAATCCTCCCACCTTCACTTCTCAGAACTTTATTCCTTTTTTTTCCGCTTGGTTCACCCACCCTTTCTACATCAGCCCTCTCCTTCCATTCCCCGTGGCTTTGCTTGCACCTCCACTCCTCATTTCCAGATTCCACTAACAAAGTGGAAAAAAGGGAGCTGCCACTTCAGTCTGACTGGCTGTTGATGTTTTTGTGTTCACCCACGGTTTCGACACACACACACACACTCGTAGGTAACACCTACCGATGGTGCAGTGCTCTCCGTTCCAGCCCTGGTGGCATTGGCACTTGCCGTCCTTGCAGGTCCCGTGTTTGATGCAGAGCGGGTTGCAGACGCGCTGGTCGCAGCCGGTCCCGGTCCAGCCTTCCTCGCAGCGGCAGGCTCCGCCCATGCATACGCCATGGGTGCCACAGTCCACCGAGCAAACCTCTGCAAGCAGGGAGACACATTTGGGTCACACACCACTTTTGTGGGGATTGTGTTTTTGCATTTTAATGTTTTTGTTTGAGGATTTTTAAAATGTTTTGGATAAAGCTGAAATATCAGAGGTGTCTGTTCTTCATAATTCTCTCACCATTAATTTATCTCAGAGGGTCTCCAAATAAACACCTGCCTAATCAGTGAAGCAAAATGTTCCCATCCTGCACCTTCAGTCAAAACCAGCAAAGATATCTTTAAGAAAATACTTTATTTTCCAAGCCTGCATTTCTTGCTGCTGTCTGCAAGGCTCCAAAGTTGCAGGCAGCGACGGTGCATGTGGTGAGATGTGACAATCCCGTCTGTGTGAGCAGGCCCCCCTGGTGAGCAAACGTTTTGATACACGTCTGTGGAGGAGTCCCGCGGTGTCAGACACTGTTGTCTGTAGTAAAGTTAAGCAGCTCCTTTCTCACGACAAATGTTGGGAGCTCTATTTGTAAGGAGGAAGTAGATTCCTCACCCTGCCTCAAAGCAGGCGGCTGTATCTGAATCCATGGGAGCTTCTACGCTGCAAAAAGTCAATTTGTCTTAAAATAAGTGCATATTTTTCTTAATTTAGGCAGGTACACTGGAAAAAACGATCTAGACATTAGTAGAAATTCCTTAAATTAAGTGTATTTACCCTTAATTTGAGCAGGTAAATGAGATAGTTTGCCAATGGAATGAGTGTTTTTACTCCTAAAATAAGATAATTAGATAATATGCACTTGAAATAAAACAATGCAAACGTGTTTTCTTTTTTTAAATGAAAATTATTTTTGTTTCATTGGCAAAATGTATGTTTTACCTTCTCAATCCAAGAACAAATGCACTTATTTTAAGAAAAAATGACTTTTCTAGATTTAAATTTTTTCCAGTGTAAGTGAAATTCTTAGCAAATGGAATAAGGCAATTTACATCTGAAATATGAAAAACAAAACTGTAATGTCTTATTTTAAGTCCTTAATATCAAACAGAAACGCCCCACCCACCCAATCACCATGATTAAATATTAAATATTAAAAAAAATAAATTTATATATATTTTTTTCTAATTTAATTTTAAATTAATATGTTAAATATTTCTAAATATATTGATATATATATATATTTTTTAGATGTCCAAAATAAATATTTAATATTTAATGAGGAGCAAAGCGTCACTTCATTTTTCGTCGGATCGATGACATTTTTCCGCCCTAGGGTGCAAAACCTTTGCCCTTTGACCCCCGTTAAAAGTTGTCCATGTGCAGCAGTTCCTCGGAAAAACAAATGTATAGAGAGAAAGCCAAATGGAGCAAGAAACGTCCTTTTCCAGGACCTGGTTTAGCTCCAAGGCTAGGCTAACTGCATGCTGCGAGGCTAACTGCACGCAGCGAGGCTAACTGCATGCAGCGAGGCTAACTGCATGCAGCGAGGCTAACTGCATGCAGAGAGGCTAACTGCATGCAGCGAGGCTAACTGCATGCAGAGAGGCTAACTGCATGCAGCGAGGCTAACTGCATGCAGCGAGGCTAACTGCATGCAGAGAGGCTAACTGCATGCAGGGAGGCTAACTGCACGCAGCGAGGCTAACTGCACGCAGCAAGGCTAACTGCACGCAGCGAGGCTAACTGCATGCAGCGAGGCTAACTGCATGCAGGAAGGCTAAGGCTTTATCCTGCTTTCCCTGCCTCCTTTTTCAATCATCAGGATCCGACCCAGCTTGGATAAAGTCAGCTACGACTAATTTAAACCACTTTGTAGAAAAGGCAAAGAAGAACGATCTGGGATTCACATGGAAAATAATAGAATATAGTCGACTTTTTCTAGATGTTTGTTCATTTGCATAGTTGCTCTTAAATAAACACATTCTCAGAAAATAAATAGTTTTTGTATATTAAAGAAATCTAAAGCTGACTAATAGCTTCTCCATTATTAAACTGGTAGATTATATTTTTGTATGTTTGTGACTCAATGTTGGAGCATGAAAAACACAGATTTAACTTCAGAAAGCCTTAGAAGATTTATGTACAAAAATTAAACCTGTGCATAAAACTATGTTTTGTTTTTATTAAGTGTTTTTATAATGTTTTTTGTTGTTAGCATTCACATAAATATACTGGTGTAATAACTTAGTATATGTTTGATTTGTTTTTGGTATATGTCTATTTTGAATTTACAGCCCCCCCTGGAGAAAACTCCAACAGTCACCACTGCTTCATATCCAATTATCTTATTTTAAGTGTACAAAACACTAATTAATCATCTTAATAACCTGTTCAAATCGAGGGTAAATACACTTATTTTAAGACATTTCTACTTATTTTCAGGTCTTGTTTTATTAAGAGGGAAATGTAGCTGCTTTACTTTTTGGGTTTGTGTGCTAGGGGGGGTGGGGGCCATGTAGGGATATGAAATAGAAAGATACAACAGATACAAGAGCATGACAACAAAGAGCGAAATTATATTTAGTCTTTTTAACATAAAAGTCTAAAAAGTCTTATCTGTATGGGGTGAATTTTGCTCCATTATTTTTAAAAGCAAAGAACACGGTTTTGTACTTTATATGTAAGTAATTATTTTAAAAAGCAATGAAGAAATAAAAAAAAAGCTATCGTTCAAACTGCATTTTATAGATCACATTCTCTGCCCTGTAAGCCCAATAAACTCACTATTCACCAACACAAAAGTGAAGAGAATGTGATTTTTACAATGTCATTTGAAAAAAATCCAATTCGTAAAAGTCAATCTGAAAAATTAAACTGAAAAAAATAAAATAAAACAGATCTGCATTTAAAAAGAATCACATAATAAGACAAAATAAATTCTGAAAAAACAGCTAAAAATCTTTCTTTTGTTTATGACGTTTTTCAAAGATTCATTCCTCTATTTCATTTTTGTCTGATTTTCATTCACCAAATGTTTTCTCTGCGTGCAACAATACTTTAAAACTTACTATGATAACCTTAAAGAAAATCCAGTGATTCATAACTTTGTAGATTCCTCTTTTGCTGCAATTAAAGCAACAATCTTGTCCTGTTTTCCTGATTAAAAAGATTTTGACTAGAACTTTATAAAACACTAATGCATTTACATATAAAAGGCTTTGCAGTTGCTGGAGGTTAAAACTGTGTCATACACTGCAAAAAAAATGGAAATCTAAATAAGTTATTTTTGCTCAAATTAAGTGCATTTTTTCTTGAATTGAGTAGGTAAGTGAAACACTTTGCCAATGGAACAAGACAATTTACATTTAAAATAAGAAAAAAACAATTGCTTTATCTTTTTTCAAGTGTATTTTATCTAATTATCTTATTTTTAGGAGTAAAAATACTCATTCCATTGGCAGATTTTCTTATTTACATGCTCAAATTAAGGGTAAATAGACTTAATTTAAGACATTTTTTACTTATTTCTAGATGTTTTTTGCAGTGTAGGACCTTCAAATCTGATGTGGTCACTATTTAAGGATAATATCCCCATAACATGATGCTGCCATCACCATGCTTTACAGTGAGAATCTGTTTGTGTTAATATCTGAGACGAAATATAGGTGAAACCCTTTCTGCTGTTCAGTAAATCACTGGTTTCTTACTTTTTGGGGAATCTAGAGGGGGAAGAATAAAATGCATTTCATGCTTTTCAGATATAACTTTCATTAAATGTTGCAAATCTATTTATAATTTCCTTTGAGCTTCATGTTATGTTTTTTTTTTTTACATGAAATATTGACAAAGTTACGTCTTCATGCATCGATTGTATCCCTACTCACAAACCCTTACTGCACGTAATGAGATAAAGAAAAACTCTTTAATATCTCAGTTTAACCACTTTAGTGGGAGTGATTTAAAAGTTTTGCACAAGTTCTTCACCACGGCTACTTTAGGCTTGGAACAGCACCATGGTGGAAAGACAAAGATCTCCGCTCCATACTGTTACTGTCAGGGAAGAACTTCCCACGTTGCGTTCAAACATGCTCCAACTTGGCTTGATGGTTGTAACAGTTGCTGGTTCCTGTTTCGCAGCATGTTTTAATTTTAGTGGACCGCATCCAAGCCCACTTTGAATACCAGAACAGCATGTTATAAAATGACTAACTAATAGTCAAGTACCCTGGGACCATCGGAAACATTGGGACGACAGCGACTGAGTAGGCGGTTTCCTAAAAACTCTGACCCTCCAGTTTTATCTAAGTGCTGGTCTCTTTCAGCCGTTCGGCGCCGCTCGCTCCGACTCACCCATGGAGCAGTCGGGTCCCATCCAGTTGGGGTCACAGCTGCATAAGCCGGTGTCTGGGATGAAGGCGCCGTGGCCGTGGCACTGATCCGGGCACTGGGCCCTGGGCAGCTCGCAGTGGAGCCCTCCCCAACCGGGCTTACAGTGGCACTCTCCGTTCACGCAGATGCCGTTGTTGGAACACGTCGGGTCCAGGCAATCCACTGCATTAAAAGCCAAAAAAAAAAAAAAAAGATACAGCAGCGTTTAAAAAAGAAGGAACAAACAGATGAAGAGAAGCCGAGACAGGCTGCGAAATCGCACACCAGGGTAGATTATAAAATGAGTTATCAAAGAAAAGGCTTGAACGAGGCGCGAATTTAATTGGTTAGACACAGAAAGGGATTATGAAATGAAGGAAAACATCAGCAGACGTTTTAATAAAGCAATTAAAGCAGACGGTAAAGGATAGCTGAAAGTACAAAGGGAGCAAAAATCCTTCTATGTGAAAAAGCAGACGTGATTCAGAGGGGGGGGGGATGTGACACTGTCAGTCTGCCAGGTTGACGGGCAGCTGTGAGTTTGAGCAGTGAGTGAAAACCAATTTGACAAATTACCTCCTCTCGGCACAGTATCCGCCCACCCCTCTCCGGGCCGCCTGTCATTGCTCTGTCCCGGTCACACTTTTCCTCTTCCTCTCCCCTCCCCATCTCGTCGTGTACGACACCCCCAGTCTCTTTCTCTCTCACCTCGGGCCCAGCTGACCGTGCAATAGCCTCTCTTTTTTTTGTTTGGCACACAAATTAATAAAAGCACAAGCCAACCTCCCCCGGCCTCTCCGTTTCTGTTTGCCCGGCAGAAACGGCGGATCACACTTATCGATTTTCGTGTCGCTGGCACTTCAGGTAAATTGTTTGAGGGACTCTGCCGTGATGAATATCAGAAATGAGAGCAGAGGAGAGGGGGAGGCTGCCTGGATGGATGAAGAGGACGCAGCGGAAAACGGTGACCTTGTTCTCGGGTCCTTTCAGGTTTTTTTTTTGGACTTCTTTTATCATTTGACATCTTTCTTCCCTTTGTTTCCTCCCTTATCTTCAACCTCAAGTTCGCAGCTTTCTCTTTTCTCTCCCACTTCATAGATGTTCACCTTTCAGCACCACGACTCACCTTTCCGGTCCCTCTCCTTTGCTTTCTGACGAGCAGGATCCTTCTTAGTAAGGATCAATAGAAGCGAATTCAGCTCTTAATAAAGTCACTGATGTGTTCAGCAGCAGTGTCATACTTCATCTTGGCTTATAGAGGGAATGAACACTCGCTCAGCACAAGATTATGCCATAATTTGCAGACTATCTTTAGTTAGAAGGGGACGTGGGCATGAATGCATGCATTCAAATAAAGTTAGTGGCCAGACCTTTCTGGTATTTCACTCACGCTCACTTCAGATCCAGTTTTCAGTCGCTATATAACACACTGGAAAAAATCTAAATCTAGATAAGTCATTTTTTCTTAAAATAAGTGCATTTCTTTTTAAATTGAGGAGATTAAAGAGACATTTTGCCAATGGAACAAGACAATTTAGATTTAAAATAAGAAAACACAATTGCATCTTCTTATTCCAAGTGCATTTCATCTAATTATCTTATTTTAAGGGTAAAAATACTCATTCCATTGGCATATAATCAAATTTACCTATTCAAATCAAGGGTAAATACACTTAATTTAAGAAATTTTTACTTATTTCTAGATCATTTTTGCAGTGCAGCATCTCATGATCAGTGGCTCTACTTCTTTAGCCATGCTGTCGTTAATCATTTAACCATTTAAATTGCATCAAAATCGATCAAAATTATCTCATCCTCTGCTTCCTAAAGCAAACTGATTGGCTGGACTAGATTTATGTTTAAATCCAAAGCCTGGAAGGAGCGTAGGATCCCATTTCCTGTGCAGATGGGGCGCAGGCGATAAAACAGAAAGGATTTTAAAGGCATTTCTTTTCTCAGGAAATATATTTTTGTACGCTTACTATTTATTGTGCAGGGAAAAACGTAATTTAGGTGTTTTTAACTAAATAAAATCCAGGGATGTATATCTGGATGTGGAAATGAGCTGATGGCGCATGTGCAGGACGGCTCCTGTGACGGATCAGGTCCCTACCTAATTACTGAGCTGTACTGCATCCTTTCCTGTCAGTGTATTTTTTTTTTTCTTTTCTTTTGTCCAGCTTATTTTCAGAATGATCAGATCATGCAAACCAAATGCTTGCTCTCACCCTCCGCACAGTTTGGCCCCTTGTAGCCGATGGAGCAAACGCAGTTTCCATCGGTGCAGGTGCCGTGGCCGCTGCAAAGAGGGTCGATGCACTGCGTGACGGGGATGTCGCACTCGGGTCCCTTCCAGCCACTGTAACACACACAGGAACCCTTGTCGTATTGGCCATTGCCGCTGCACAGCACCGGGCAAGCAGCTGGAGAAGAGGAAGAGAAAACGAAGAGGGAGGAGGAAGGGAGATTAAACCATGCACATTAGCAAAGATATTTTTTAAGTTGATTTGCAGGACAGATTCACACCCAAGCATGCAGGAGAGTGAATAGAGTGGTTAAAAAGGGGCGGAGAGCGCCGATGACATAAAGAGTAATTACAAGCAGAGGTAACTAAACTATTCATCAAAGCTGTCTATCCCAGGTGAGAGCGGAGCCGGGGAGTCGTTAGCTCAGGGAGCTGCCATTCATCATCAGTCATCTTGTCTTAGCTTCACCTAAGGCCATGCGCCATGTTGCTGCTCTTAATCCTCTCTCACTACTCGCACAGACAACTAATTAGGCCGCGGAAATGACAAGATCTCCTCTGACGGGATTTGTACACAACTAATACCTTTGGAACAGTCCATGCCGTGGAATCCGGGGAAGCAGTGGCAAACGCCCGAGTTGCACTCTCCGTTGCCATGGCAATTGCGCGGGCACTCTTGCACCGAATCTGTGAGGAAGACGAAGTGAGACAGAGAGAGAAGGAGAGGGGAGGGTTCAGAGAGTCTGATGCCAAGCATCAAAGCATTTCATTAAATCATTGGCACCATTCATTCTTTAGCGCTCTACAAACTGATGGCGCTCCGAGTCTCTTGGTTGCACAGACATCAAACGCAAACACGCTCCTCCAACACTCCAACCATCGCTTTTTCTCTCTGTTTTTCATTGTAGTGTATGGACAGAACCCTTTACTTTAGCTCTGCAAGCTCTGTCAGGAAATACAGCAGAGTTTAGCAGAAATCTGTCTTCACGGCGGCGTTTCTTTCTGCGTAGGTTATGGTGAGATGGCTGACAAAGATGAGGTCAGACGCTCTGAATGCTCAACAAATCCACAATGTTAAAGTTTCTCCCAAATATTCAGTATTTGATAGGAAGTAAAATGATTCCTCATTATTTCGCTGCTGGCCACTGACCACCAGCATAACATTTCATTTCAGTCTTATTATATGAATCTGTGAGGGCTCTACTTCCTCCGCTTTGGGGCGCCAGCTTGGTCCGCTTCCCAGGGGAAGTTCTTGAGGTGAAACTGCTTCCTACATGCAGCAAGAAGAAGAACTGGCTTGTTCTCTAAGGCTCCTGTTTCTTTCTGTATTCATGCACGACTCCCGTCTGGATTTGGGGGGGTCATGGATACTTCATCCAGGTTTATAGCTGTTTGGCACGGAAGGGACTCAGAGACTTCGATGAATTACACGACTTCAGCTGCTCTATGCGCGTTTTAGTGCCTCTCAACCCACTTACAAAGAGAGCCGTTTGGTGGGAAGTCACAGAGTGGATGCTAATCACAAAGATGGTGTTTTGGACTTTTATCCATCTCTTCTTCCTTTCAATGAGCCTTCCACCTCTTCTATGTACCAAGCCTTCCCCCCTAAATCTGAACCCCTTGTCTCCCTCTTACCCTAATGCCACCCTCTCCTCCTCCTCCACCCCCCTTTAATCCACTTCACTGCACCCCCCACACCACCACCATTATGTCTTTCCTCCTACTACCTCTCATTCTTACTAGTTGCTCTAATTCTGTCCCTGCCACCTCTCCACCTCTTCATCTTCCCATGATACTCCTGCAGCAGAGAGTGCTCTCTCTGCTTTATATTGACAGTGAAGGATTCTTTGAGTCTATCCCCCCCACCCCCCCTTGTTCCCATACTCACAGCTCCTGCACATCTGAAATTATTTTCTGACTTCAGAAAAACCAAATTCATACACTTTCACCTGGCTGTGAAACAGGTTCATATTGATATTTTTTTAAA